CACTTAAAGTACACATAAAGCAGCCACCCTTGTGTGATGTGTCTGACTAAAACATTCAGGTCGTATACCAATATCACTTTGGTTACACTCAGCGCAGCGTTAAAAAGCAACCAGACCTTCCATTTGATTTGTCTGATTAAAATAATGAGTTCATATACCAATGTCTTAATACATTAAAACAATGAAAATGTAGATATTATGGACATGTGGTCAGAGAGCAGGCAATACAGAGAACGTTATTGGAGGGCAAGCTCAATGGAAAGAGACCAAGGGGGATACCAGGAAGGAATTGGATGAAAGACATATGTGAATGGATACAACTGGACTATGCAGGATACGTCAGAGTGGCACAGGAAAGAAAGACATAACGCACCATGATGGTGAACTTTCTCTAAGAGGATGCCAACTCCAGACCAGACCAAATACCAATGTCACTTATATTTACACTTAACGCAGCGTTACAAAGCAGACAGATCCTCCATTTGATGTGTCTGACTAAAATATTCAATTCATATATAAGTAATTGTAAAAACCCGCGCATTTATAGATTTCTTAAAACCTAGAAGAACCTATCTACCTTCCTCTGTTATGACAAAATGGTGTATGTGATTAGCGGCTCAAAATTAAATTGGTATTCACAGAACTATGCAATACAAATGAGAGAAAGAGGCCGACCAGCATAAAAAATACTCTTTCCATACTACTTATGTCATGTGACCAATAGATTACATATACCCCATACTCGTCTACAAGACTTTGACAATTTTGGGGTTTTTTAACTCTTTTATTTTAGAGAAATCAATTTCATGGATTTTTTAAGACAGAATTTAAGCTAATTCCTCAAGTCTACACAGAGTGATACTGGGTGAAACATAACTTTTACAACTTCTATCAAACGTAATTTTTTACCCTAACTGACATTGGTTTGGTTCACAACAAATTCCGTGGTATTTATCAGTAGCTGTTCTTAAAAGTACGAACAATTAAAGCATCGGGGTTTGGTTTACAATATGTAGTGTGGTATTTATCCAAAGATAATGTTAAATGTCCGACAGCTCAAAGCGGAAGGGTTTCACTTACAATGTTTAGTGTAGTGTTGATCCCAAACGAACGTCAAATATACGAAAACTTAAGAAACAGGGTTTAGTTTACAATAAGTAGTGTAGTATAGGGTTTGGTTTGTAATATGTAGCGCTTACCTGTTGTTAAAGGTAAGGTAACTTAATGTGTCATAACTATTTTTTTGTAAAACATTGATTTAACTTAACAACAAATTGAAACGTGGGTCATGTGCTGACATATTCATTTACAGCTGGTTGACTAGCTGTAAACAAGTACTCCAAAACATTTCTTCATAAACATTAAATTCCGCTGTGTTTTCACATCGGAGCTTGTATGATTCTAATAATTTAAAACCATTTATTATATTTAAAAAAATTACAACGTATTTATTTAATTTTTTTAAAATTCCCATAGCTAGTTGATGTCACAGTTTTCGGTCAAAGTATAAAACTACCCTTGTTCAAACGATCAAGAGTAGCTTCACGAGTTTCAGTTGATTAGGGTTGGAAGTATTTTTCTTCTTTATATCATGTGACATTATTATCAAAAATACAAAAGGTAAAGAAAATGTCATTGTTGGACAAATATCCTGTCGTGTTTAAAAAAGTGGAACTTCTCAAGATTATTTTGAGGCAAAAACTGTATAGCAAAGGGTTATATCATAAATATATCTTATTCAGATTTCGTCACCAATTCTGAATGAATGAAAAATAAATTAGTTCCTATTACAAATTAGTATTTCATTAGGCCTGTTCACTGTTACAGTGCCTCTTTGCTTTTGGTGTTCGGAGATGTTGTGCAGTTTTGATTACTAAAGCGGTACGTGAAGTATAAACTTTCTCAGCTGACTGTAAGTAGTACGGCATGCACGTGCAGAAGGGATCGTAAAAACATTTTTCCTTGCTACAAATCGGGCATTTGTTCGTTTTTTTTCCTTCAGAATACAAATGATTCCAAGATTGTTTCTGCAATAGACGAAATGCTGTGAAATATTCCAAAAAATGCTAAAACCATGCTTCTTTGTTTGTAACGTTACTCCTACCATGTTCAGAACCAAATTTATAGTTTATATAAGTGTTTTGAAGAACAGAAACTTTTAAACAAATGTCGATGCTAAGTATCACATTACATATACAATATTTCTCATTTAATATCATTTCCCCATTTCAAAAGTAGTTAACAGAAAAGATATACTAAAGTTATTAGACACTAATACACCTAAATCAGTTTACGTGATTTTTTTCTCGCAATTTTAAACCGGTTAGTAACAAACTACGAAATTACAAGTCAAACTCAAAGTTCACTGTGCCAATTGACCTTTACGAAATGACGCAAAACGAGCGATGCTTACGTTATTAAATTACTTAGTTGGTGTGCTTTCGACCGAGAGGAATGGTTCTAATTTTACGTGGCCTTTGATTTTAAACTTACCACATGTTTATTTTCAATAACTGAAACAGAATACATACATTAGAACAATAGTAGTTCACGTAAATCTTAAAGTCTAACTTCTAGTTTAGGTAGAAAAGGCTAAATTGTCTTATTTTTACTAGTTCACTTGTAGGAAGCTTGGTGACGCAGACGCTTTCAGATCTACTGAAATATCTGAAAAACCTGTCTGAAAAAAACAACAAAAAAACTGTATTTCTGTTGTAAGACGTTGTTTGGAGTTTGACGGAAGTTACAGTAGGTTAAATTATAGAAAAGAAACAATAAGTACAATATCAGCTTATTTCGATTGCTAGACAGAACACTATTGGCCCTCTACCGGTTGTGATAACTAGTGGAATTTCCATGGACGAAGAGAAATTAAATCAAGATTCTAAACTGTACGGGACATTCAGAATTTTAGAAGAAGATGACGATCTGCATTACCTAGGGTCTAACATTCCAGCTGAAGCTAATTCCACAAACAGGTGTGTTGTGTTAAAGAAAACGTTTTCCAATGAACTATTCACGCCAACTATAGTTTTGATTGTGGCCGTTTTTGAGATTTGTAAAACTTTGATTTTGCGTTCGTTGTGTCATTTTGATTTGTCATTTCTAAAGAATTTATTTGTTTACAAAATTAGTTTTATTTTTACAAGTTTATTGCAACTTTAGTAAAAGTAAACACTATGAAATGACTTTTTCTCTGTTATGAAGTTTTATGTAGTGTAGTTGAGTAGTCGGTAGCTGCTAAATTTTAATTTTTTGTAGGGATAACTAGCATAATTTTCCTATCTCAAGTTACAAATTTTCCAATATAATGAATTTTTTAAACATTAACACATGTTTTTCCTAAATAAAAACTGTGCTGCTTTAATTTAAGTAAGACTTTGTGATTAAATTTTTATTTTACTCGTGCTTGACACTTTAAATATTTTGTCACTAGAATTTGTAAAAGAGAGAGGAATTTCTTATTGTTCAAACGAAACTCTTGCTTGTAGAAAACTGTTTAAATATACATTATATAATGTGATATTCATTACTGTTTTTTTTTAAATAATTTTGAAACTTAAAGCTTTATCAACATAATTTTTTAAGTATTCCAGAGTGGAATAAAACATAGACTATAACTGTTTGACTAATTAATTGATACATGTTTTAACTAATGGCTTAAATAACTTTTATACATAAGAAAAGTCCTGTTAGGTTGATAACTACAGCATTAAGCAATTCTTGGATGATCAAACTCAAAGGTAAGTAACTAAGACAACATGAAGGTAATGATAAAATTACCTTGAAGTTTAATTACTTGTAATAAGCATGTGGTTATTGTGTTGACTATTTCTAAAGCTTTATTACATATAGCAGTCATATTATTGAATGACCCTTTTAAGCTTTATAACATGTAACAAACATATGGCAGATGTTACAAGTAACTGCAGTTTTATTGCTTGTAACACGCATATTAATTACTATAGATATGATAAATATACTTTGAAGCTTTACTACTTGCATCAAACATATGGTTGATTCATTTGATGACCCTTTAGAGCTTTATAAGTATAAGAAAAACATTGTTGATGCATTGAATGATTCCTTAAAGCTCTATTATATAAACTTATATGGATTGGTATCCTCAACAATCACTTGGGAGAAGTTATTACTGGATAATAGATTTAATGAAGATTAACTGACCAGAAAGAACTTGTTATTAGATAATAGATTTGAAGAACAGCAGAAGTGGATTGATATACTCATCAGTTTCCTCAATGAGGGGTTTGATGATGACCAGAATAATTGAATTTCTATACTCAACAACTACTTACCCAAGATAATTTTCTATTCGATTATAATTTAATGAATACCAGAATAAGTGGATTGAGATATATATATATATATATATAACAAAAGCTAAGTTGTGAAACTGCTACTGTTTGATGTAGTTGATGAAGAATGGAAAAAGTGGTTTAAGAGATATCCAATAACTGACCAAGAGAGTGTGCTATTAGTTGATAGACATGAAGAAAATCAGAATATGTGGATTTAAGTGCCTAAAAACCATGAGGGTGAAGTCATTATAAGGTGACAGACCTGGTGAAAACCGAAGTTAATGCATCCATCAGATTCTTAAACAGTTATAGATGAAGGACCAGTATAACTTGATTAAATTGTTATTTGCATCTGAATAATGAAATATTACACTCCAGTATAAAATAATTTTAATTCAGTCATTCAAGGATAATGTGAAGTTGAATCAAAATAGAAAACTACAGACAGGATGAAGATACACTTGTACATTGAAATATATTTTCCATAATATCAGTGTCTAACAGTTCTTTACTTGTTAGATATGTCTTTAAAACAAGAAAATATATCATATTTTTCTTATGGATGAATATATTACTGTAAGACAAATTTTTCTTCTGAAAATGATAAGATACTCGACAAAAATATTTTAAGACCAATAGAAAAAATTCTGGATCTTGAAAATTATTTCCATTGTGTAATTGTTTTATTACAGGGTATTAACCTTTTTAATTACATATATGTATGAAGTATATACTTGTTCCACAACAGTTCACAACTTGAGAATGTTCCAAGAGTTGTCATCAACAGGACAGTGCTTAACCAAAATGCCTTAGATGAATTGATTCCACGTCACCCTAAAATACAACAACCTTTACCCAGTCAGGTGAGTGTTTTTTTTAAAGTCTTGCAACATACTGGAAAGATATTTTGTCTAATGAGAGATGGTAATATAACATTGAGTATACAGAATCAAAGCAGGATTAATTTTGCTACAACAAGCCCTTGTATATAGATTGTTCTGTTGGAATGGAGCAGTTACCTATATGCTGTCTGTATTAGTTATATGTTGGTAGAGAAGTTACTGGTATGCTGGTTATACTTGTCAAGTATTGATGGAACAGTCATTTCTTTTTTGGCTGTATTAGTTTTATATTGACAGAGCTGTCACTGATATATTTGGAAAAATAGTTTTCTATACAGAGCAGTCACTTTACAGGCTGGCTGTGTTAGTCATTTATTGAGAGAGCAGTTGCTAGCTGTACAAGTTTTATATTAATAGTGCTAACTAATATGCTGGCTGTATTAGTTTTAGATTGAAAGAGTAGTCAGTGGTATGCTAAATGTTTTTGATTCTTTTGTTTTACATTAAGAAAGTAGTCACTAGTATGCTGGCTGTGTTTGGTTTATATTGACAATACAGTTATTGGTATGCTTGCTGTATTTTAATAGATAAGCAGTCAATTGCATGCCAGCTTTATTAGTGTTATGTTTACAACTTGTCACTTATATGCTAGCTGTATTGGTACTAATTTCACATGTATGCTCTATATAGTTAGCTGTTTTGGTTTTATTTTGGTACAACTGGCATGCTTACTGTATGGATGTTATACATATAGAATAGTAAAAACAATTGGTGGTTTGTAGGTGTGTTTGTATTGGCAGAGCAAGCAGTTATGTACCAGCTCTGTTAGGTTTAGTATTGGCAAAATAGTAATTTGTAAGTCAGCAGTACAATTCTTATAATGACAGACAAACTGTTTGTATTTTAACTGTGTTTAAATTAAGTTGGTAGATAAGACATTAAGGTTTTTTTGTTTAATAATGGCATAGTAAGGAGTATTAGTTTAATAATAGAGTGGTTACATGTGTATCCTATCTGTATTAGCTTTATAATTGCAGAGTAGTAATTGATATGCTGACTTTTATAGTGACAGAACAGTCACTATCTCATATAGTTTTACAATAAGAAAGCAGTAACTAGTATGATAGTTGTATTAGTTGTGTAGTAGTCACTTATATGCTAATGGTATTAGTTCTGTAATAGAAGAGCTGTAACTAGTAAGCTACCTTTATTAGTATTATAAATGAGCAGTCACTACATACTAGCTATGTTTGGGTTATATTGGAAGAATGGACACTTGTATAATAGCTTATTTGAATTTATATTGACAAAATAGACTCATATTTTAGTGTATTTGGTTTTGTATTGACAAAGCAGTCATTGGCATGCTATTTGTATGAACTATATTGGCAGATTAACTACTGTTTGCTAATTGTATTAGTATATATTGACAGAGCAGTCACTGATATGGTAGCTGTATTAATTTTATATTGACAGAACAGTGCCTAATATGGTAGCTGTATTAATTTTATATTGACAGAACAGTCATTGGTGTGGTGACTGTATTAGTTTTATATTGACAGAGCAGTCACTGATAAGTTAGTTGTATTAATTTTATATTGACAGAACAGTTGTTGGTTTGCTGATTTTATTAGTTTTATATTGACAGAGCAGTTGTTGGTTTGCTGATTTTATTAGTTTTATATTGACAGAGCAGTTGTTGGTTTGCTTGGTTGTATTAGTTTTATATTGACAGAGCAGTCCTTGGTATACTGACTATTAATTTTTATATTTACAGAACAGTTGTTGGTTTGCTGGCTTTATTAGTTTTATATTGACAATAGTGCCTAATATGGTAGCTGTATTAGTTTTATATTGACAGAGCAGTTGTTGGTTTGCTTGGTTGTATTAGTTTTATATTGACAGAGCAGTCCTTGGTATACT